CCCTCCAGGCCACCCCCCAGGTCACACCCTCCTCTGGGACGCAAACTCAAAAAGTCAGGCTGCTTCCCTGCTTCCCCAACCCCCTGGGGCAAAGGGAATGAAATCAGGGCCAGAGAGGTGGGCACTGGTCCAGTCTTACACAGCGAGTCCAAGGCAGGCACCGAGCCCAGGGTCCTGCTGGGGACTGGGACTGAGGGGGGCCTGTCTTCACTTCTTGGCTATGTTGGGAGCCGGAGAGGGACGTGGAGAGGGGGCTCATGCCCAGAGCTGAGTCCGTGCTCCTGGGTGTGGGTGTCCCCAGGGCAAAGGGTGGGGGGGGGTGCAGCATTCTTCTCCCCAAGCCCCCACCCTCAGTTCAGAAGCCAAACCTCCTCAGGGGAGGGCTGGGCAGGATGCAGAGGCCGGGGCTCCCTGAGGCAGGCCAGCCTCCCCATCCTCCTACGAGCTCAGGACTCAGGCTGGGAAGGAACTGGGGTCACCAGGTCTCCAGAGGAATGCACCACAGGGAACAGTGCCTGGCCGAGGCCTCCTTCCCTGAATCCGCTTGTCCTTGTCTTGTAACTGTCTCTGTGCATCACACACACACACACACACACACACACTCACTCACTCACACACACACACACACACACACACACTCTGAGACATACTGACCCACACAGGCACACACCACCTACGACCCACACAAGAGCCTCCTGCCCTCTCCTCGTCCATGTCCCCACACATAGGACCTTTCTCTCCTCCCCTTTCAGCCCTGAGGCTGCCCGAATGGGACAGGCTCGACCCTCTCTCCTTCTCCCCATCGCTCCATGGGTTCCAGGCTGGGGTCCAGCAGACGTGGAAGGGAGGGCCCCCACAGCTGGCCAGGCACTCTCTCAACCCCTTCCAGCCTCAGTTCGCCCCCACCCTGCAGGACCCCTTTCCACCCTGGCCCTGGAGTCTGTGGGAACCAGACAGTTGGGGCTGTCCAGCCGGGCTCGCTTCCTCCCAAGCCCCAGGGGACCTGCTGAGGGAGGAGGGAGCAGCAGACTGAAGGCCGCGTGGCTGCCTGCCCAGGAAGCGCCTCTGCAGGGGCCTGGGCTGCCCGCCCGAGGAAGGGGTCTGCAGCCCCCTGGGTGTCACCTTGGGGGCTGTAAGACCCTCCAGACCACTACACCAAAGACCGGAAAGGGGGTTCCTCCGTGTCCTGGCCCTTCTCTCCCTACACCCGTGATCCAGATGGGGCAACTGAGGCTCTGGAAGGAAGCCTCAGCCACTCTGACATGCAGGAGTGTGGGGACAGTGAGCTTCCACACCCTCAGGCCTTCCTCTGATGGGGGCACAATACACCCATTTCTCCTGCTTCCCCAAGGGGGCAGCCAGAGAAGGCCAAAGGCCAGGGCTCTGTCACTTCTGGGCCGTACCGGGACAGCCGCTCCCCTCCCCCCATGAGAGAAGTCACCAGGAGAGCTCAGAGAGCTGGACCCAGGAGCCCCTCTTCTGGCAGGAAATCCAGAGGGGGGACTGGTGCCTGCCCCTGAGCCTTGAGAGGGATAAGCGATGCCCTTTTACCACTGGCATTTGAACCCTCTGCCCTCCAGCCCCATGAGCTCCGTCCCGGACACCCCCAGCGCTGCTTCTCCCGGCGTGGCACCCTGCGTCCTCTCACGCTGCAGGCCAGGCCTGGGCGGACACAGACCCAGTTTCCATTTCCTCTCTGCCACTCCGGTGCCATCTGGAGTCGAAGCTAGGACCCCAGACTCTCCAAGCCTGCGACTCCTCCATGTCAAATGAGGATGTCAGCCCATCCCACACAGGATTGGCGAGAGGATAGCTGCTGGGATGGAGTAAATGTCACGAATGGTCACAGTGATCCTGACCCATCGTGATGGGGGCAGCTGAGTCACAGAGTTTGGGATTGGAGGAGCCAGTCCCTCAGGCCAGGCCAGCCTCACTCCCTGCCTGCTGTCCTCCCATGGTGCCTCCCTCTTCTCTCTACCCCAACTCCTGCTCCCCCTCTCTGCTGCTGGAAACTCCCGAGAAAGTCCAGCAGAAA